GATTTCTCTTCTTTCTTCCTTTTTTCTCTTTCTTTCTTTCTTTCTTTCTTGGAGAGAGAGAGAAAGACAGAGAGAGAAAGAGAGAGCACGTGCGAGCACATGGGCAAGCGAAAGCAGGGGGAGGGAGGAGGAGAGGCAGAGAGGGAGAACAGCAGACTCCCCTGCTGAGCAGGGAGCCTGAGGCAGGGCTCCATCCCAGGACCCTGAGCTCTTAACCTGAGCCTAAATCAAGAGTCTGATGCTTAATCGAATGAGCCGCCCAGGCACCCCATGATCTCTCTTTTTAAATGCTTATTTTTTAAAAAATAAAAACAATTTTATTGGGGCGCCTGGGTGGCTCAGTTGGTTAAGCGGCTGCCTTCAGCTCAGGTCATGATCCCAGAGTCCTGGGATCGAGCCCCGCATCGAGCTCCCTGTTCAGCGGGGAGCCTGCTTCTCCCTCTCCCTCTGCCTGCCTCTCTGCCTACTTGTGCTCGCTCTCTCTCTCTGTCAAATAAATAAAATCTTAAAAAAAAAACACAATTTTATTAAACTGTAAGAAAATCTGTGTTCTCTTGGGTTTTCAACTATTTCTCTCTTTGTGGACATTAAAAGGGTATCAACACATTCAAATGAAACAATGAAAAAATGTGGAAGCAGGGTTGCAGATGTAAGGGTGAGTTACATAATTTAAATTCAGTAAACCACTAGAAATATAATGGCAATGGACCTGAGATACTTTTTCGGTAAATGCTGAACTTGTGTTAGCAAGACATTTTTAAACCAATTAGCTTGCTCAATTGACTAAGCATCTCCTACCTCATTTACTTGAATAAAGATGTAGCAGAGGGGGGCGCCTGGGTGGCTCAGTTGGTTAAGCGACTGCCTTCGGCTCAGGTCATGATCCTGGGGTCCCGGGATCGAGTCCCGCATCGGGCTACCTGTTCAGCAGGGAGTCTGCTTCTCCCTCTGACCCTTCCCCCTCTTGTGCTCTCTCTCACTCTCTCTCTCTCTCAAATAAATAAATAAAATCTTTAAAAAAAAAGAAAAAGATGTAGCAGAGGAACTTCAGCAAGATATAGTGATTTTATAATGGCATACAGACAAAGCAGAAACAAATCCTCAATGGAAAATAACTTATACAAAGCAATATGACACCTAGCAAAATTAGCGTAGCTGTTTTCCCAATTTAAAAGCAAACCATTGAGATTCTCAATTTATTTGAATAATTTGGCAAAGAATCAGGAATCAAATAAAAATTTAGTTGAAAAATTAGGTGGAACAAGAGCCTCCTACTTTAATTCTTTAAAAAAAATTTTTTTGTATTAAGACGCCTTGTTTTTTTGATTAAATACATATGCATTTTTAAATAATGATAAAAATATTTAGGAAACTATTATTCTCTCATTATTATGAAGTTAGCTACTTAGCAGGTGAAGTCTTAAAGAATTTGTGGGATTAAAAAAAAACTCAAAGAGGGCGCCTGGGTGGCACAGTTGGTTAAGCGACTGCCTTCGGCTCAGGTCATGATCCTGGAGTCCCGGGATCGAGTCCCGCATCGGGCTCAATGCTCGGCAGGGAGTCTGCTTCTCCCTCTCCCACTCCCCGTTTGTGTTCCCTCTCTCGCTGTGTCTTTCTCTGTCAAATAAATAAATAAAAAATCTTAAAAAAAAAAAAAAAACTCAAAGAAAAAAGTACCAAAAAATACACAGTAAAACCTACATGGGTTTAATTGTAATATCCTTGAAGGAGTATTTTCAAAAGGCTTTATTTATTTATTTTTTTAAGAAATACTACAATTGAGGATTTTAAAATGTTCAGAAGCATAACAAACAGTTTGGGGAATATATCTTCCAGGACCAACAACACAATTTCCTGAAGACTCTAAATAACTTTGTTTACTTGTAAGGCATTTTTTGCCATATGATAAGATAAAATGATCTGTTGTTAAGAATTCTAGTGGTTTTTCTGAATAAATATGAAAAAAGAAAATTGAGGTTTTTTTATGGGAGGAATATTATTATGCATAAATTGTCACAGCTGCTCATCTCTTAGATCTATGATTTAAAGCCAGAAATATAAGTAACGACAGCATTGCTATTGAATTTGACTGGGCTTTTGAAACAAAATAATATAGCTAGGTCTTTGAACAAGACAGATAAGTTTATTTGAAAAACAAGATATGTATTTGGCCTACACACCCTGTCTCTTGAAAGCTGGCCTCCATGTTTGACTAACAGCCTCTCCTCCAATTGTCTCTGCCTCCTTCAGATTTCACCTTGTTCTCCAAGATGCAAATAAGAAGGTTTTAGAGTAACACTAAGTTACTCTAACAAATCTTTACTCTTTGAAATCCTAGTAAAAAAGTAAAAAGAAAAAAAATTCTTCCCTTAAAAATGAAAGATGAATAGATAAAGGCTCAAGTAGCAAGAGTTACAGTGAGTCAAGAGGTACCTAGACTTCTTTTGCTACTCAGCTCCCTTTCTCAAACAAGTTCTTTCTATATCTGATACCATCTGAGCACTCTCTAGAAAAAAAAGTATAGTTTTTTGGTGTTCCACAGAAGTTTCTTGAATTTTCACATTTCTGTTTCTTCATACCAGGGAAAATAAAAAAATCTAGAATCCTTAACTTACAACACCTTTTAGCTACATTTGTAACAAAAATAAAATGTTTTTAAAAAATGAATTATACCAAAATCCAGAACACTGACAACACTAAGCGCTGGTGAGGATGTGGGGTAACAGAAACTCTCATGCATTGCTGGTGGGAATGCACAGAGTACAGGCACTTTGCAAGACAATTTGGGAATTTCTTACAAAACTAAGCATACTCTTACCATATAACAATGTGCTCCCTGGTGTTTACCCAAGGATGTTGAAAACTTATGCCTATACAAAAATTTGTAAGCAGCTTTATTCATAATTACCAAAATTTGGAAGTAACCAAGATATCTCTAAGTAGATGAGTGGACGAATAGACTGTGCTACATCCCACCACTGGAATATAATTCAGTGCTAAAAAGAAATAAGCTATCAAGCCATGAAAAGACATAGAGGAAACTTAAATGCACGTTACTAAGTGAAAGAGGCCAATCTGAAAGGGTGACATACTGTATGATTCCAAATATATGACATTCTGGAAAAGACAAAACTAGGGAGAGAGTGAAAAAAATATCAGTAGTTTCCAAGGGTTAGGGGAGAGAGGGATGAATAGACTAAGCACACAGGACTTTTAGGGCAATGAAGATACTCTGCATGATACTTTAATGATAGATATATGCCATTATACATTATCCAAATCCATAGAATGTACAACACTAAGAATGAACCCAAATGTAAACTATGGACTTAGAATAATAATGATGTGTCAATATAAGTTCTTTAAGTGTAACAAATGTACCACTCTGATAGGGGAAGCTATGCATTTATGGGGCCAGAGGGCATATGGAAAACCTCTGTACTTTCTGTTCAATTGTGCTGTGAACCTAAAACTGCTCTAGAAATAAACTCTATTAGAAGAAACAAACAAAACAAAAAAATTATATATAGTTGTTATCTCAATAAGTTACACATCAAAATGTAGTATTTTGAGCAAAGGATATAAGTTTGAAATCTATTTCATTATATAATAAAAATGTATATTCTTGGAATAATTGAGACTTCAAATCACTAAAAACTACTATAGATAGTAAATGCACATATTTCAATTTGTCCATAACTTTATAAAACATGTATATTCACATTTAAAGATTTAGATATCCGGTCTCTATATAGGAAATTGAATACATGTATGTATGATTCTATAAAACCTCATTGCTTTCAAAACATTTTAGAACGATAAGAAGAAAAAAACCCTCTCTAAATGGTTCATATGAACCATATTTTTACCCTCTTTAAATACCATTTTGCAGCTAATTCTCTAATGACATTTTGCAGTCATACCAAATTCAGACACAAAGCAGGTCCCACTCACTAGCTAAGCAGTGGATCAGCCACAGAGTGCACATTTTTAACTCATCCTTGGACCAAGTTACAAATTTCTACATGTGACAGATCTTCAAAGTTGCTTAAGAAAGTCAAAGTTTTGAATTATAGTTAAATTCTCAAATACTAAGGATCTGTCCACAAAATCAAATGGAAGAAAAAGGGGATTTTTGAGTGTGTGACATTGAAAAAAAGAGGCAGGAACCTTGTAAATGGCCTAAAGAAAAACTATATGAGCCTAGTCTCTAGCCCAAGGAGAAGATAAACACATAGATTTCAAGAAATGTTGATTAGCAGCAAAGCCCATTCACTGTATTAGGATGAGTGCTGGACACCAGATCTGCAGTCAGTTGACCTGGTTGAGAGGCACAACTCTGTTACCACCGAACCCTATACCCTTGGGTAGTGAACCGACCTACTCTACAGCTCAAATTCTTTACTTACAAATTGGGGGAAGTGACATCACATAGAATGATTTTTTTCCCCCTCAGCTTTTTTTTAAACTGAAGTGTAATGAACACAGTGTTGTGTTAGTTTCAGGTATACAATATAATGATCCAATAATTTCTTTTTTCTTTTTTTAAAGATTTTATTTATCTATTTGACACAGAGAGAGAGAGGAATCACAAGTAGGCAGAGTGGCAGGGAGCAGCAGAGGGAGAAGCAGCTCCCCGCCGAGCAAGGAGCCCAATGCGGGACTCGATCCCAGGACCCTGGGATCATGACCTGAGCCGAAGGCAGACGCTTAACGACTGAGCCACTCAGGCGCCCCCAATCCAATAATTTCATAACATTTCTCAGTGCTCATCATAAGTGTACTCTTAATCTTCTTTATCTATTTTATCCATCCTGCCACTCACCTCAAAGTAACGCTGTAAAGAATGAAAGTTTTTTTTATAGAACAATGTTCTTAAAAGTTTGTAAATTATATAATGATATAAGCAGTGATATAATGATATAAGCAACAAAAGGTTGTAAACTATATATACAGATTATTATTCTATTTATCAGTATAAATAAGATGGAATTCCTTACCAAGGATGAATTCCAACTGTGGTTCATTTGGAGTCTTCTGAATACCTATAAATAGTGAGTAAGAATCCAGATTAAAGATATTTAACTCATAATCAAAAATATGTCAATATATATTACTATGCTTCACCCTGCCCAGAATTTATAAATACATTATTTGGCAGAAAGAATTAACTCAGTTAATTGTCCAAATTTATAAGCTGTAAGTTCTCATAATATTTGTAGCAGAACTAAATGTGACTGAAGTTTTGACTGATCTACTTACTCTATGGTTATAAAGAAACTGAAAAGATACTGTTTTTTGCAGCTTTGACAAATTTAAAACATATTTTTCAATTGTTAGTTTCTCTTAAATGCACGTAGACAGCGGCAAAACCTTAAAAAAAGATGACCTCACAAAAGTACTCTCTTATATAGACTTTTCTTTCAAACCACTCCAGCCTGCTGTAAATAGTAAATTATTAATTAAAGAGCTATCTCTAATAAGGTGATGAAAGACATTATGGTGGTAGTTATTCTGCCAACTTATTGATAGCTCAAATCATTGTTCTGATAAATGTTTTTATTCCTTTTTTCTAGATTTTTAAGAAATCTAATAACATGGCTAAATGATTTAGAGTGAAGTGGAGGGAAGGTCTGAGAACAAAAGTAAGGGTGGGAACATATAGGGGTTAGAAGGTTGCAAGATCAGGCTGTGGCAAGTGATAATGTGCTATAATGTGGTAATGTGGATATCTGATGGCCACACACAGCTTGGAGTCTTCCTAAACAAAAGTGGATGAGAACTTAAATGCCACTTATTATAACTTATGGCTGGCCAAACAAGCAAAACTAAAATTTATGTAAAAGTCAACCATTTGGTAATAAATGTAAGAACATTACAAAAATAATTTTCTTGTTTATTTCTATTGGTACATTTACCAAATACGATTTAAATTTACTACTAATATATTGTTAGAACCACCTCTGTGTATAAAAATCACCTATTTTTTATTTACATGGTTAACACTTTTTTTTAAAAAAGATTTTATTTATTTGTCAGGGAAAGAGAGAGAGAGAGCACGCACAAACAGGGGAGAGTGGCAGGCAGAAGGAGAAGCAGACTCCCCGCTGAGCAGGGACTCCCCACCACAATGTGAGGCTCTGGGCTTGATCCCAGGACCCCGGGATCATGACCTGAGCCAAAGGCAGATGCTTAACTGACTGAGCCACCCAGGCATCCCCAGAGTTAACACTTTTTTGCATGGTAACCATTTATTTTTTATTCCTGCTGACATTTAACAATACTAAAATTTTAGACTTTCCAAGAGAAACGAGAGTGACAATCATTAGGCAGCTTTCTGTTCATTTCAAAGAGTGTAGATTTTTTTTTAAAGTTATTAACAACTGCCATAAGCTTTGAAAAACCAAATTTCTTAGAAAACTTTTCCAACCAATACTGTTTTCTAAAGATTATTTTTATAATGTAAATTAAATGAAAGGTTTGGCATATGTTTGGCAGTGTTAAATAAATGGCCAACAGGAATCCTCTGAAAAGAAAAGTCGCAAGTCATGCTAAAAAATAAAACCTAAACTCTAGAAGAGAGTTACAGAGAGGGGAACACATACTTACTTGTGAACTGGAAGTCCCCAGCATCATTTGCCTGGGGTGTGGGAAGAAAGTGCTGGCCTTCTTCTGATGCTCCTTCCTCTTTGATTTCCATGATCAACCTTCACACTTGTTTAATCTTCCAAATTTTCGTGTCTAAATGTTACTGACAATGATTCCTGGTTTAATATAGATGTATCTTCACATTAAAGACCAAAATCCCACTCTGAAATTCTGCATTTAGGAAATAGCGACAGCAAAAATCTCAGTTATTTGAGTTCAGTATAAAGAATTAAAGGTAGGTAGAAACTACAGTTTCCTTCCTGCCTGACTCACTTTTATTTTCAAGATCAATCCACCCAATTAATGTGCCATAAACTCTAAGTTAAATGGGTATGCTCTATGCAATTATTTTATGGTCATATGAGGGACTTGTAGATGCTGAAAGGTGTAATCTTTCTCTTCTAGTTCATTCTGTAAAATAGTAGATAGCAATAGGGTCTGCTAACTTAATATGCATCTAATTTAACAGCAAGAGCAGATAGCATCTTGTCAAGGCATTAGCATGTGTTGCCAAGGTGAATATTATTATTATTCCTTCCATTAGAACTACGCTTTATGCTCATCTCTCCATCCACCCTTGTTAGAACATTATTCATGAGCACATAAAGATAATTTGGCATGACACTCTTCTTCCAATATGAGCCAACAAGTTGTACAAGAGAGTTTCCAACCTCATCATTATCCATAGAGTGTCTTGCTTCTCTGCCTGATAAAGTTTTAATTGGTTAATGATCAGGGTATATGGTGAAAAGAATGAATAATAATTCTAAAAAGCTAAAGCTCAAAGGGAAATGAAAGTAACAGTAAAATGATGAAAATCAGCATGGGGGAGAGAAAGCCTCTCCAAGAATTCAATATTCTATGCAGACAGTCTCAATAGTTTCAAATTCATTTTGACATTTAGCCTGATATATATGACCAAGAATGTGTTGTTTTAAGTCAAGTTACCACCTGAATTAAAATGTATAAAAAATCTTTAAATGTCTGCCCAATGTTGTTTGAAGAGATAGCGACGATCAAGTTTGGTTTGGAATAATGCAACTTTACAAATCCACAGCCTAAGTCTTTGTTGTTTTAACAAAGCAGCTTCATTTGTAATTCTGTTCGGGTTTTTCAAGATCATCTAGCAAAAATTAAATCCAGAAAGCATCTTGAATCTTTAGAAAATATTATAATAAAAGTTGCAGATAAATACACATTGGCTACTCAGGATACAACCAAGAATAAAAGCCTGGGGTAAAGGCCATTGTGCTATCAATTAGACCAAATCCATCGATTTGAAAATTATATTTTGAATTAAGATAATGCTTTCTATTTTTTTGACTATTTAAATTTAGAAGTCTCTTCTGATGAGGACAGACACATTCATGGAACCACATTCTATGACAAATTCATTAGCATTAGTGGGATAATATCTATGAAAGACTGCCATGCATGTGGAACTTGGACACAAGGACTTTGTTAACTTCCTCATATTTCTTCACCAAAAACCCAACCCCTAATCTTGATCAGTTATCTTAAAAATTGAAAAGGAGACCTAAATAAGGCAATATGGGTAAATCCTAGCAAAACAACAGCTCAGCACACTATGGTGAATAATTAACAAAATAAATGTCAACTCTCTGTGTGAGTGAGTGTGCATTTTTGGGTGGATGGAGAGGACTGAAGATGCCTACAAACACTAACATGGTCCCATTATAGGCATACCTCACCCATTCAAAACTGAAAAATAAATTCAATTTCACAGAGAATGAAGCCAAATACATAAGACATGGATCATAGGACAACTGTTCTTTTTTTTTTTTTTAAAGATTTTATTTATTTATTTGAGAGAGAGAATGAGAGACAGCACGAGAGGGAAGCGGGTCAGAGGGAGAAGCAGACCCCCCGCTGAGCAGGGAGCCCGATGTGGGACTCGATCCCGGGACTCCAGGATCATGACCTGAGCTGAAGGCAGTCGCTTAACCAACTGAGCCACCCAGGCGCCCCATGGACAACTGTTCTGATTTTATTCACTTTCATTCTACCTTTGTTGCATTTGAGGACAAATTTCATATTTGACACCTATTAACAAAAGACATTCCTCAGAAAGAATCAGTTATATTACTAGAAAAACTCTAGAAAACCACTACATTTTCTAGGTGGTAAATACAGCATTTACCTATGGTTATGGTTAAGTACAATAGTTCCTTTTCTGTGTCTTTTTGGAAATTTTTTGGTTTAGAGATCATGCACAAGAATAGATTTAAATTTTTACATACCACAAATTTATTTTATTTTATTATTTTTTTCCACAGATATATTTTAAAAAGTCAGCTAGAGAGACTAAACTTAATTCTTAGTGCAGAAAGAAGCCACATTAAATATACCTATTGTAAGAGAGTGACATGATTATATTTGATTTTTAGAAAGTGTACTGGATGTCGAAGTAGAGAATGTACTAGAAGGTGGAAACTTAATACGGAAACTAACTTGTTTGGAGGTTATTTTAATATTCTAGGAAAATAAAATAATAAAGAGAATCTAGGTCAAAATAGAAACAGATGACTAGAGAAGAGAATCTGGACTCCAAAGAAAATTATTAAATAGGGTAAAGGGCTATTTATTAAATGGAATTACCTAGCCTTAGTAATGGAATTAGATATAATTTAGAATTGAGATGATGAAAGACAGGAATTTCAGGTAAAAAGCAGTAAATTATGGACCATTAACTATCTGGAGTATAAAGAAGGAGGGATTTTAGTCAAGGATGATGAGTTTAGTTCTAACCATTTTGTTTTTGAAATGTCTTAAAATATTAAGAAAACAGTTCAACACATGAGTCTAGATTTCAGGAGAGATATTAAGGCTGTAAAAGTATATTTTTGGAAATCATTGGCTAATAGTTGAAGTCAAAGAGATACATGAATTCACTGAAAGCAAGTGCATGTAGTGAGAAAAAGGGATGACTGAAGGCTGAACCTTAAGGCACAAAACCATTCAGGGGAGCAAGAAGAGAAGTCAGCTGGTAAAGGCACTGGCAATGACAGGAAGAGCTGCAGAGAAGAACAACTGAGGGAATGACATGATTACCCTACTTAATGGGTGTTTCTCAAGTAAACAAGGTCATTAAATTAAGAGAGTAGTTCCCAGCCCTTCTCAACCAGAAAGCCTGTTTGAGAAATTGAGGCTACCCTGCAGTGGCACCTTCTCCTCCTGCCTAGGCAAGGGAGCCAAGAATATCTTCTGATGACAATTCCTGGAAGCTTTGCAGACTTATGGTACTCAAGCTAAGAGTCTGGCAGACAGAGCGGATCACCCCCAGAGCAAAGCCAGTATAAAGTGTTCCCATGCTAGACACAGACAAGGGGATTAATTCACAGACAAGGGTGAGGTTAGCTCCCATTCCTCTCAACCAGAGAACCTGTTTGGGAAATGGAGAGTAGCCTAGAGCAGCCCCTCCCCTTCTGCCTAGGCAAGGGAGCTGAGATATACTGTAGAGAGTGTCTTCCAGCTCCATCCAACCTGAACGGCTGGCAATTCCAGGAAGCTGTGTGGTCCTGTGGCACTTCAGCTGAGAGGTGGGCAGGCAGAGCCAATCAGTTTGCAGAACAAACCTAGTGGCCATGTTTATTCAGGAAACTTGGGGTGGGGGTTGTCTTGAGTTAAGACAACAAATAAAAAGCTTTATGGCTTTAGAGCTGCTTCTCCCACTGCTCCTGGGCACAGAATCTAATTTGTAACCCCACTTATCTCTGAATACAATTTTCAGTCTGTCCAACCAAGGAACCTAACCAGAGCATGTGGGAAGCTGCATAGGTCTAATTCTAAAGGTCCTGGGTCCCATCCTAACTGCCCTGCCAAGTCAGGGAAGTCAATTCATAGCTCTACCCACTACCAAATATTAAACCCAGTCCTGACCATCTAGTAAGCCTCACCAGAGAATCCAGGCAAGCATGGAGCCCATCCTACAGCTTCAGTTGGGTAGGGAACAAAGCCCATAATACTATCCAACTGTTTTCAGCCAGTGGCACTTAACCCGCACACCCCCTTCAGAGCTTGCCCCAAAATAGAGCATAATAGCAGGCCCCACCTGCCCAAGGACATTACCAGAAGACACCTGGAAACCCGAACTGAGCTGACTGTTGAAGAGCTGTCTCTACCACAAAAAACTTGTAAAGTCTAGAAGAGGAGCCCAATTATTCAAATAACCAGATAGAATTAATAAGGATACAAAGATCACACACACAAAAAATCAGGTAAATATGACATCACCAAAGGAAATTAATAAAGTTCCAATAACTGACCCTAAATAAATGGAGATCTAAGAACTGTCAAACAAAGAGTTCATAATAATCATCTAAAGAAGTCTAGTGAATTACAAGAAAATACAGACACACAACTAAATAAAATTAGAAAAGCAATGCATGAACAAAATGAGAAGTTTGATAAAGAAATAGCTACCATCTAAAAAGCAATTAAATAGAAATTTTAGAGTTGAAAAATACAATAACTGAGTTGAATAACTCAACAGGGAGTTTTAAAAGAAGACTTGACCATGCAAAAAAGGAAAAAAATCACTCACCTAAAGGATAAGACATTGAAAATTACCAGTCAGAAAAGGAAAAAGAAAAAAATAATGAAAAAGAGTGAAGAAAGCCTACATAAATTATAGAATAGAATAAAAACAAACAATATGCACATTATGAAAATGCCAGAAAAAAAGAGAAAGAAAAAGGGGCAGAAAGTATATGTAAAATAGTATAGCTAAAAAATTCCTGAACCTGGGGAGAGATATGGACATCCAGATCCATGAGGCCCAAAAGATTCTAAAGAGGTTAAACTTAAATAGGGTTACACTGAGACATAGTAATTTAATTAAAATTGTCAAAAGTCAAAGACAATGAAAAAATTTTAAGAGCATCAAGAGAAAAGAGAGAAGTTACATACAAGGGAACCACCATAAGACTATTAGCAGATTTATCAACAGAAATTTTTCAGGCCAGGAGAGAATGTGATGACATATTCAAAATATTGGAAGAAAATAACTGTCAACCAAGAATTCTATACTTGGTGAAGCTATCCTTTGGAAGCAAAGTAAGGAAAAAGAATTTGCTGACAAACAAAAGCTGAGGGAGTTCATTACCACACCTGCCTTACAAAAAATGCTGAAGGGTGTTCTTCGAAAGAAT